CTGATTTGGAAAAAACACATTAGTTTCTGGAAAGTAGAACAACTTTTTAAAAATGAAATATGTGTGTGTGTGTATTCATTCATATATGTTAAAAACTTGTTGCAAATTCAGAGCTGAGGATCATAGTGATGCAAGTTACAATTCAGTAAATGTCCAGTGTATGTGACCCTAAAGTAGTGTAACTTACAAAACAATGATCGACTCATTCCTATGCAGCACAGACAGGAGGCAGCTTCTGCTGGCCTGTTTCAAGTCTTGATATATACTGTTTCAATCTACAGCACTACAGGTTATGCCAGGTTGTACTGTAGTACAGTAACTAAAGGTTACGCCAGGTTGCCATCTTATTTTGTGAAGAGGGGATTTGGTAGTAGAAAATCACAGGGGTTCTGGACTGCTTTATTTCCTCTCCTATCTGTGACATACACTGTACCACATGATAGTGGCTCATAGGGTCTCCTGTAATAGGAATATTCACGTAAGGGAGATGGCAGTACCTCAATTTACAAGACTGTAGTTTAATGGTTGTTTAGAAGGAGTGCCCAGTTACTGAATTGTAAAGAGAAGAGCTTGCATAAGTGGAAGATTTTTAAAATACTTTAATGGTACGGGGGTCATATTATTTTGCTACTAAGGTATGTGATTATGTTTTAATTGGCTGATGTTTACAATGTGGTTTTTCTTAAAAACACATTTTTTTCAAGATTCTCTCAATCATTGCTTATCTCACATCCACAAATATCCATGCTTCCTGTGTATAATATCTACATTTGCTCTTTTTCAAACATACTCACACTCAAAGTTTATTTCACATGGGACATCAAGAAAACAGTCACATTAGTCTGATTTTTTCTCTCAGTTAAAGTTTCGTTAAAATAAGTTCACAGTGAGTTCATCTCTCTAGATTTACTCTTCAGTGTAAATTTGTTGCTGTTATTTATTAGAAAGTTAGTGTCTGGACATTACTTAAAGCTGATATAATTCAATATAGTTTTTAGCCATTTTGAGTTACCTAATTTTTTTTTTAAACTGTGCCAAGACATCTTACAAAAGCTTGCTATAAGCACATAAAAATATAGAAAACTTTAAAAATGTGTGGATTGCTATTTGATTGCAAAATGTGTAGTAAAATCTGTGCTAGGCAGGTGGGAGGTTTAGGGACAAAGACTTTGTGGGCTGATTGGGTCTAGCATCCTTTAAGGCAATAACATTTTAAAAATCAAAACTATTAATTAAATTCTACACTGTTCCAGGTAGCATAAGATGTCACTACCTTCCTTACTGGCAGTAGTGTAAATAGGGGAGAGCTCTTAAAGAGGGGGGGGGGGACACAAGAATGGCAACTGCCACTGCTGCTGCCATAGCCTAGCCAGCCCAGCCCCTGCTGCCACCTCTACTGCCTACGGCACAGACCTAGCTAGTTACACCTCTGAGTGCTACATGGTTTCTGTTTTGTTTCATTTATGCTTGTTGCTTGCTTGCTTGCTTGCTTGGCTGGGATGGGAGGGAATAACAAGAGAGCAAGATCCCAGACTCACACTACCAAAGAGCTACCCTTGTGATTTCTGTGGAACTGCTCATATGAACGTGATTCGATCCTTAAGCAGATTGTAGCAATTAGAAAATAAAAAGCATATGTGGATCACCTAAAAGTAAAACCCACTTTTAATTAACATGACACAAATGATGAGACAACTTTTAAAATTATTTGTGAAGTATGATAGTAATTTGGCAAATCCACATCTGCGACTGACAACAGATTTCTTTTTTTTAGTTCTGCAAGTCAGAAATGGTTCTGAACCTTTGTGCTTATGCGAGCCTTTATTGATATATTCTTACCACTTTTTTTGTTTTTCTTTTGAAATTAATGAAGCGATATCTGTTTGTGACAGCAGTTTGGAACACAGCATGTGGTAATAACTCATCATAGCTAGAACAGGATTTCAAGGGAAAAATTTGCAAGTGCGAGCCTAAGTCCATGAATTCTTACATTATCGCAGAGAGTTGCAATATCTAGTTTATTTTTCCTAATGAAGTACCTTAGTATTTCTAGCGTATTATGGTGATGGTGAAGAAAAAAATCTTCAATCTAGTACCCACCAAAATAGCTGGGGAAATTAAGGGTGGTAGGATGAACAGTGAGGGAAGTATATACCCACAGGGCACATTCCATATAGAGCCTGCTTTAACTCAGTGGGAAATGATTAAAAAATCTGCAGTTATCTTTTCTCACCTGTTTGTGACATGACTGGAAAGCACAGGAAGATATAGTTCAGTTGCACAATCTTATGTTACTGTGACCTGTTGAAGATTTTCCTTTGGCTTTTACCAAGATGTCACCTTAGCTACAATGTGTAAACTGTTGCAGGATGCATAAAGGGAAAGGTGTCAGTTGTTCCACACAGGACAAGAAGAGGGCATAAAGTTCTCATCTTCTTTCTCATATAGGCTACTCCCATCTTGAATCACAGCTCAGTAGGGAGAATAGGTAATGAAAGCAGGTTCTGGGTTGCTTTTAACACCTAGTTTGCAGGAACACAGAATGGATGAAGTTTTGACACTTCCACTGTAGATGCTGGCAAAAAAGAAGTGATCTGATGTAGATTAGAAAGGAATCCAGGCATGGTGAAGTGCTGACCCAGATTACTTCCTTCTGGAACAAGAGGAAAAGCAAATAATGACTCTAAGTTATTGTTCTGCCTTAGGGGCAGAACAGCTGTAATCTAGCACTTTCTCAGAGGAGAGGGCAGAATTACTGTCTAGTTCTTGATTATGTCCATATAAGAAAATAATACACCTACATCTTAACTAAATTATACGGCTGGGTCTTCCCAGATAAATTACAAAACTTTATACAGTATCATTCCCAATTTATAGGCTATCCTATGTTAAATGGTGAAAAAAGTTTATTTACTGTTTTGAAACTAAGTACAGTACAAAGGAAATGTGCATGTACTTGCACATGTTCATGTATGTATGTGTGTGTGTACATATGCACACATGCATTTCCTTTGTACTCTCTCTCTCTCTGTATACACACACATATACGTGCATACACAGATGTGTGTGTGTGTGTGTGTATACAGAGAAAGAGAGAAAGTACAAGGGAAATGTGTGTGTGCGTATCTATCTATCTATCTATCTATCTATCTATCTATCATCTCTAGATAGATAGATAGATATACTATGTATACACACAAACACACACCCCTGACTACACTTGGATGAAGGAGGAGCTGATAATTATGCAGAGATAACAATTACATCAGGAGATATCCCGTTTTTTATTGTGCTTTGATCCATAGGCCATGGAAAGGGGTGGGCCACCCGTGCCATGGCCTGCCCAACTTTTAGCACATTAATTTAGCTAGCTATGCAGTTAAAAAATAGCTGTACAGTTTTAACCGGAATGACAATTGCGCATTTTTGGGTTATATCAATTAACGTGCTAAAAGTTAGTTGGGCCATAGCCCGGGTGTCCCTCCCCGTTCCGCGGCCTATGCTGTGATCCATCAATACATTTATACTAATGTTTCAGTTGTAGGGTTACCATATTTCCAGTATCAAAAAAGAGGACATCTGTGATGGGGAGGGAGGGAGAGGCAGAGTGGTGGGGGAGGAGAGGGGTGACTGGTATTTGAATGTGGGGAGGGGGGGCAGTGATATGCCTGTACCCTGCCTCTGCCCCTCGTTCCTAAGCTACAGCTCCCCTGCCCTGCCAGTGCCACTCACTCCTGACCTGCAGCCCCCTGCCCCCTCCCAGCCCTGCTGTCCACACCAAAGCGCACACAGTCTCTCTGTTTCTCTCTCTTACCTGCAAGCAGCTGCCAGGGCCCATGCGCAGAATACACGATCCCCCGACATCCAATCACATTCCCCCTGTGCTCCCAGCCCCAAGCAGTCAAGCTGGAAGTGCCGGGAAAAAGCAGAGCAAAAACCTGAACATGCGCTTGCATTTTAAAAACCCACCTGGACAGAGGATCAAAAAAGAGGACATGTCTGGGAAAACCTAGATGTATGGTAACCTTAAAGAAGAGCAATTTGTAGAGATGTTTTTCCTCATAGAGAAGCCAAATTAATGTCTGGCATAATGAAATTGACCCAAACTTCTGTAATTCATCAACACCAATCTATAAATTATTTTAAATTATAGAAGCGTATTTGACTGTGGGAGTGTCTGGGTCAGTATTTTTGTTGCTGTTTTTTTTTTCTTTCTTGTTTTACATACATTACTTTATAATCTACTTATAAATTATGACTGAAACTTTACTCTTGAATTTTTCTACTAGTGAGATTTTTCCCATTGTGATGTCACGCATGATCAGTTCTGATTGTTATAAAGATTCTACTTAGGAATTCAGCATTAATTGTTAAAAGATCCATGTTTAAAAGAATAGGCCCATGGTTCTAACCATACTTTTAATTTCAGTTATTGTTAAAACATACCTGATCTGCAAGAACCAGGTATTATTTCTCTGTTAGAGAAAAGTAATGAACCAGTGTAGTTTTTCCCTTTTTTTGTATCTTCAGTGAATATATGAATTCATCAGGAGCTGTGAAGGGTTAACAGTGTGGGAAGCCTTCAATGCAAATACTACTCGTATATAAAATATATGTCGTGCTAGAAAATATTCTATTGTCAATCCAAATAGAACACAAACTAAAATGAGATAATTGGGAAGGTGCCCATAAAGTCAGCCTGAATATATTATCACAAGTATATGTGAGATAATATTTGTTTTAAAAAGATTCTATGGCACTGTAAACTCAGTCTCATTAGAGACTGCATTTAAAAGGCTTATAAAGTTACTCATTAATGTTATCTTGTTGTATCTCCACAGCTTTTTCATTAAAGAAAATTCAGCAGAAAGCATTTTCTCCTGATAGCAGGAACCAATTTGCAATAAATGTTCTGGAAACCACTAGGGAAGCCATTACTGAGGTCTAATAAAAACAGACAAGCGTAACTTGTTCTATATTTTTGTTTCAATCACATACAGATGAGACCCCGCTCTCCACACCAACCGCAAGAGACAGCCTTGACAAACTTTCTCTAACTGGGCATGGGCAACCACTACCACCAGGTTTTCCATCTCCTTTTCTATTCCCTGATGGATTGTCCTCCATAGAGACCCTTCTGACTAACATCCAGGTAGGCCTTTCTGTAGATCAGTTTAAAGGGACAAAACTAGTGGCAGATTTGTCTAAATTAATACAACCATTCTAGTTTAATCAATTCATAAGATTATTTGAATCAACTAATTTACAGAAACTTTGTAGTAATTTAGGTATTAAAGGAACCGCGACAATCAAATGAGTTTAGAAATCGTCAGCTACAGTACATAAAAATATCGATTTTATATTAAACCACAGCAGAGATGTAGATGAAAGTGGCATTGGTATGCTTAAAATCATTTGTCTTAAATGCTCTTTTTATTACAGGCCAATGAAATGTATATTACTGCTTAGGTTTATCTCATTTACTTAACAGAGAAACATTTCCTTAATAAATAGTTACTTTAAAGTGCTGGAGTGCCAAGGTGGAAATGACATGTTAAGCTGTTTAAAAAATGTCTAATGTAAAAGGCATTCACAAAAAGCATTTATTTTACAAATAAGCTTATTTCAGTTAAAGCACTATCTTCAAAGAATAGACTTCAAAGAGTATTACTAAATTTTCTGCAGATTTCCTATTCAGTAGTCAGGATGTCTATTGTGTGTACAGTACAGTCTGACTCAAACATCATTCAAAATTTACACTTGCATGTAGCATGGAGCCAAGATAGTTGTGTTTGTGATTAGAGACAAGAACTTTTTGCCCACACATGCAGTGATCATGTGGTTAACAGATGGAATTTGTGCAACCATATGGCTATATATTTCATGCTGCAGCAAAATGGTAGTGCAGAAAAGTTTAGCAATATCATACTCACTCCAGCTGTGCTTGCACCAGCAACTACTAACTTCCAAACATAGTC